GGGTGGCTTTAAGCAACCCATCTAACCCTCTCAATTTCAGAACTTATTAAATCATTGTGACAGAATCATTGTGACAGAGAAATGCATGAACTGGTGCTTCCTTTACAAGATGGAAGAGAAGGTTTGCAGCTACACAACCTATCTCACCTAAATCCATCCGGATCAAAGTTGCTTCCTGAAATAAGCACATGAACTTAGGTGGCTAATCTTCGGTGTCCTGACTCCATCTGCTAATTCAGGTTTCCTTCATCATACCACCTAGCAGAAGGTCTTATGATTTGGTCTGCCCTTTACATTATGGGTATTCGGGATGTAAATACCAAGTCCTCAGTGCTAGCCTTTCTTTATTTATCTAGTGATATAAAGAAATCATATGGTGTATTCTCCAAATTAACTTCTCCTATCAGATCCCTGAGCTTTAAAGAAACAGAGCACATTCTGTAGGTCAAAGGTTTCATAAGCTCAAAATGATCCAGCAATGTCATGCTTGCAGCCTAGAAAGCCAACCATATGCTGGGCTGCATGGAAAGCAGAGTGGCCATGTTGCAGGAGGTGATTCTCCCCCTCTACTCTGCTCTTGCAGACTGCATCTGCAGTCCTGTGTTCAGCTCTGGGGTCTCCAACATAAGAGGGACATGGACCTGGAGCAAGTCTAGAGGAGCATCATGAAGATGATCAGAGGGCTACAGCAGCTCTGCTGTGAGGACAGTCTGAGGGACTTGGGGTTGTGCAGCCTTCCAGTACCTAAAAGGAGCCTGCAAGAAATCTGGAGAGGGACTTTTTCCAAGGACATGTAGTGATAGCACAAAGTGAAATGGCTTCAAGATGACAGAGAGTAGATTTATACTGGATATTAGGAAGAAATTCTGCACAGTGAGGGTGGTGAGGCACTGGAACAGGTTGCCCAGAGAAGCTGTAGCAGCGTTCAAGGCCAGGTTGGATGGGGCTTTAAGCAACCTGGTCTAGTTGAAGTTGTCCTTGCCTGTGGCAGGAGGTTTGGAACCACGTGACCTTTCAGGTCCCTTCTAACACAAACCAATTCTATGATTCTATGGTTCCCAGACTGTGGTAAGGGCATCACTGGTATGAGGAAGCTACAGTATCTCTGCACCTGTACACATCCCAAATTACAAGCTAGACACTCCATGTACTTGATAAGAACTCCTAGGATGACTCCAAACCCCTCAGATAACCCACTGAAATTCAAAGGTAGACACACATGCATTATAGATATCTGACTAGATACAATCACAGGGAGAGACAAGAATTCAAGGTTAACATCATGTCGTCCTACACCACTCACCCACCCACAAAACAAGGAGGTTGCAGATAAAAGGATTTTTAGATTACAGATAGTTCAATTGTTATACACGTGAAACAATGTTTTCTTCAAAAATTGCATTTTAATCTAGTGTACAATTTTATTCAAGAGGAGATAATGGACAGCTGCATCTGTGTAAAAGAAAGTGTGGGAAACCTGCAGCTGTTAGAGCTGAGAGCTATTTCTCAGTTGGGTATGTCATACCCACTGCAGTTGGGTATGATTTGTCCTTAATCTTAGTAATATTGAGCAAACTAAGATTGTTCTGCAAGCAAGGGCATATAAAACAAGAAATTAAAAGCAGTGAAAAATGACATATTCTATTTTAAGTAAAACAGCTGTGCTGTTAGTGCTGATGGTGAGCTATTTCACCACTCCATCTTCATGGTGCAAATGTACAATAGTGTTGGCAAGAAGGACTGCAAAGGGTTGAAGGCTACATGGTCACTAACTTGTTTATGGTTGTTGGTTTGCTGGTTCAATTGTTTTGGGGTTTTTTAGTTTGATTAGTTCCTGCACATGCTTCCATTGTCAGGAATTTCTAAGTAACTTTTGAAAGGGGATAATAGAGTGTCAAACAGAAAGATTTTGCTATTTTAAAAATAACTCAATTGCTTCCCCACGGTGCTGCTTTGGATCACACTTTCATGAAATAAGAGGGAATCAGAGAGAGTGCACAGAACATATGCAGGCAAGAGAGATGAAATTACATGCTGTCCATCTAGAAAGAGAAGTCCAACTCACTTTTTGAATATGATAGTCTTGGTTATGGTTATGTAATGTAATGTACAACTATCATACTGGGTAGAAGTGGTGAAGCAGGTACAAGTGCCTGAGGCATGTATAGGGAGGTGTTAGAGAAGACAACTGCATTTGCAGAGAAGAACATCACAACATAACTAAAATGCTAGCATATATCTCTTTCTCAAAAGGGTGCATGAAAGCATTCACCCCTCCTTGCCAAAGGATCAATAAGCATCCACTGTACCATCATCAGTCATCCCACAGCCAATACTGAGATGTTGACAGAAGAAAGAATGAAGGAGAAAGAAGAAGCATGGGGGAGGGAAGAAAGGGTCAATTCAGAAATGGCATCTTGGTTAAGTGCCAGCTGCAGTGACAAGGAAAGTAGAAAGCAACAGAAGGAGAATGGGTTAGAATAGTTGTGCCCTTCAGGGGACAAAATGACATTCTTTAATAGCTCAGGAGGCTTTCAAAATGAGGTGTCTACCTCCAGCAGAGCAAAGATTAATCTTGATGGAACAGTTTGTATGATGAGTTGTAATATGTCAGTAAGTGCAATTTTAGGTGAAGTGGTTGATAGAATCAAATCAGTATTTCAAGGAAACAAGGGGAGTGAAATGTATTTACTGATGGTTAAAATTATACAGATTATTACACTGATGTCAGAGCTTTCCAAACTCTGTTATGGAGACATGAAACATGTAAAAACGATAATAGCGCCTTTGTAATTTTTCTGTCAGGGACAACTCATTGCTAACTGGCTTATTTTTCCTGCTCGGATTGCTGTGAGATTCTGGTTTAGTTTTCACATTATTTAGGAAGATAGAAGTGGTTTTAATCCTGTGGACAGGGAATGAATAGTAAATATAGTATTCGAGAATTCAGTTGTACATAATCTGCCAAAGGCTGTAAAATATGTAAACTGAGTCTCTGTAAACAAGCATCTAGTGAGACATACATGGACCTGAGAGCTACAGTCATGATGAAATAAGTTAACCACACTTACAGGAACAGGCCAGCAGAAGTGCTCTTGTATTTTGCTAGTGCACCAGTATTATCTGCATTTAAACTTTCAATTCAGACTGACAAAACTTCAGTTGTTCACCTGACATGCAAATTTATTCATTTTCACTCCCCCCAAAATATCTTTCTTTGACAAAGAAAAGAGAGTTGCTTCTCCTCCCTCAGCACATCCCTCCTTCTCTCTTTATCGAGTAACTTTCAGTGACAATGCTCCATGGAATGATTTGCTGATTAGGACATAGAACATTTATTTCATATAAGTATTAAGCATATGATAGACCCAGCCAGGTACTAATCCATAGGCCTACCACCAGAAGGTCGTTTAAAATGTACCCAATTAGCTGTGTCAGAGACTTACTGCAAATGACCTGCCAATGCCCAAAGGCAATCATTTTAACTCTTGGTGGACAAACATCTACTTTTTCAATGAAAACTTCTTCAGCACACACCCAGCACATGAAAAAATGTCTGAGAAACCTAAAGCCAAATCTCAGATGCACTAGGTCATTCTCTGGCATTTTTTTTTATCTCATCATTGTTATGCTTTTTTGCAGCTGACAACAAATACACATTTACAACTGCAGTGAAAACAGTTGTAAAAAGGTGTATATTTTGTGTCAGACTATGTAAATGGCTTTGAAATACAAAAAAAAACATACACCAATTTTACATCCATAGTGAGGATAGATGAGGATAGTTCTCTTCAGATGGGAAACCATAGGAAGAACCATAAAATAAACAAGGTTGTTTTTGATAGAGTTGGGTAGATGTGGGTTCAATGTAGCCTGAAATCTACTCAAGGTCAAGCTCTCAATTTAAACTTGAAGATTCTTCTCCAGTGAGCCATAAATCTCATTCTTCTCAGTCCAGTGATGAAGGTTTTAATTGTTTTAACTATGAGCAAAAATCACTAACAGAAGCTTCATTAAAGGCTGTTAGAACCTACACTAAAATCTAAGCCATTTCAGTTCTTTTGTCGGAAGGTGAGCTGGGAGAATAAGCAGGGGTGGGACTAAAGGAGTGAAACTGAAACAGTTTAACTGTCTTTCAATAGTAAGATAAGCAAACCAGTTAAAAGGATTGTCATCCTGTAATTACCAGAGTGCTCTGTATTACAGAGGGAGCTGAAGCTTTGTTGCACAACAAACTGTTATGCTTGTAATTTTATATGAATAATGAGCCAGATGCATGAACAAGACTATTAAATTGTTATCACTGGCAGCCGTGTCCCTCATTGATTAATGACTCTGTGTGTCACCAAGGAAAGGAACTCCATTTTTAAGTGTGGATTGTCATCATCAGTGTTGCCAGAGCAACCACTGTCTGCTTTTGACTTACCCCTGTACGTGGCAATTAAACCATTACATGAGGAAACAAACAGCGATTATTCTCTTTAACAGAAAGCTGTTAAAGAATAAAAGACTGAGGAAACCAGATTTGTTTCCCAAGATAAACGCACCTGAGCAAGAATCACATTCAAGGTCAGAGCACACGCTTAATATGAAATTTATCATGGTCCCACACATTGGTTCAAATTTGATGCTAATCATAACAATCTGGAACAGTTTTATACACTTGCAGAAGAACCAACAGAAAGACATGAATGAACAAATATCCACAGGTGTTAAACCCACTTATTTTACAGTGAATAAAACCAATTTATAGAACACATAGTTAAGAAAACAGTTGAACTGTCTATATATGCTCTTTATACAGAGACTATTTATAAAGAGAGAATACATATGTACATAAGCACAAATAGATGAACAAACACTCCAAAATGTATGCTTGACCCTGTGCTTGTTTTTTTTTTTCTTGTTACTTATTTTGTTTTGGTGGGGTTTTGGTTAATGCAAGATTTATACAGAATGTTCTACCAAAAGCAGCTACAACCTAGCTTCTTCAAACTTACAAGCTTCTCGGAGTTTCTCCTTGTCATAATGTAGCCCCTCATATTCTTGTAAATTGATCCTGTTCACTCTGATCCGCAGGCGATCTGGGATGGAATGAGGACTGCAAGAGAAGAAGAAAGCTTCTTAAACAAAGTGTTCCATTGAAGAGCAAAACAAAAACAGGTTATGAAGTGATTTTAACGTTTTCTGAACATTATAATGAGAGAGGAAAAAAGCAAGCCTCTTCAAGGTTGGGCCAAGTCCTCATCACGCCCATCGCTGCATTTGAGATTATGACTGCCCACTGTACAACAACACAGACATTACACCTTAAGTGATAAGATAGCATTTGCTGTATGTGTGGTCTGGAATCGCAAAGGTTTTTCCTGATTTCTCTAATCTCCATATACCTACCCCTCCCCTCTGCAGTTTGCCTTTTTGTGCATCCCTTGGCCCCTACCACAGCCAGTAGATGTGCCAAGCTGTGGTTCAAGACACAGATGCTTTCTTGGGAACTCTCTCAGGACAACCATTCTTCTGCCCATGAGAACATCCACCCTCATTCCTGGAGGATCGTTATTCAGCATCTCTGTTCTGGGAAACAGGCAACAGAAATGTGGCAAAGAACTGGAATTCCAGAGTAGTGAGTCCAACACGTAGAACCCAGCAGGACTTTCAAAAGCAAGTAACAGTACAGGAACCTCATTTCTACATAATTCAGCCAGATCTAGATACCTCAACTGTCTATATAATTTTGAAGCACTCAATAGGTCCCTATGTATAAATTTAAGCATCAATATATTGATAGAAAATTGCCCTGAAAAGCTTTGTTTTGATTTCATTATGGCTTCCACCTTGTAACTAACTTATTATTTCATTTCTTAAGTTTAGTTGAATACTATGTAAATTAACTTAGCCACATTTGAATGTTTGACTTTTAAAGAAAGACGGATAACCTGTGTATTATAATGCACATGATAAATGTCTGTCCCATAAGAATTGGCCCCTGGGTCAGTTAAAATTCTATGCTTCCAGAAAAGGTTGTCCATTTTCTCTGTTTTAATCTAGTTGGTAACAGAATTCTGCCAGTGGTATTACTGCCTAATACACACACTGCCTTTAAAAGTTAAAATGTGCACTGTCATAAATATGCATATTCACTTCTTTGTCTCAATTTTAAAATATTTGACCTACAGCACTTGCACTGTTAATGCAGGACAGGCCACATCTCACAAATGAAAACTTTTTTTTTCTTTTTAGACAAGTGAGCAATTTTTTTTTTTTGCTAGAAAATACTGCAGACCTGACAAAACACATGGTTTGCGGCCATCTCTTGGTAGAGCCTCTGGGACTGCAATTAGCAATTATTTCAGTGTTACCTTATTGCATGCTTTCTCTCTGTTGGTATAAACAGCTCTGTCTCATCTGAACAGATGAAAATAAAGATTGAAAATCAAGTCCCAGTTAGAAAAAGCTTTATTGGCACAAGTGGTCTTTGCCAAAAAAAGTGATAAGGATAAGGAATTGAGGGTGCCTCCAAACCTGGAGTGCAAGACAGCCCACTGGAAGGAACTACACTGAAGAAATTCCCATTCTGAACGGGAGTTTTTATATTAGTGATGAAAAGGAACCTAAGATATACAAAGAATAGCCTAGAAGAAATCATAAATAATGAAAAATGAATACTTAACAGTGAGGGCAAGATTGACACACTCAGAACCATATGAACCGTATAGGCTACCAAATGTTTTCCCTATCCTGCCAGGGACTATTGTGTTCAAATGCCCCAAGGTATCAGAAAACTGTCCATATTTAAGACAAGCTTTTACAGTCTGATGACAGACACCTGGGGTGGTAGCTTCCAGAACAGCTTCAGGAGGCAGTTTTAACCCAGGTGCCATGATGTCATCCTATGAAAAGGCACTCCCCATCTGCAGGCTCTATTGCTGGCTCAGCAACTCGGAGAAGGTAAGTGCCTGCAAATGGAGGGGAAAGGTGGATAGATAGAACAAGAACATAATTGCACCGAGTCTGACACTTTATTTCTCTTCTTTTTAAAACAAGATTGAATGTCACATCACTGGCTGAAGAAATGAACATAGTCTGGGGAACTATGTTCCCTTCCAAATTCTATAAAATGCAAGTTTCAAAAATGAAAATCACAAGAGATTTTATTTTTAGCCAAGAAATAACAAGAAAATGTTTAAGTCAGAAAACCCAGGAATTTAACTATGTAGTCTTTGTCTGAAGGGAGAAAAGAAATTCACTGCATGTAGTACGGCTCCTGAAAACAGACCGACAGTCCTGAAAAGTGGAGTCTTTTATGCACTGGTACAAGACAGGAAGAAGCTATGTTGCTTTTCCCATAATGTTCTGCCACTGCACATTAGATGAAGGTAGCTCAGTCTTCCAGCTACACAACCTGGAGATTGTTCATAGCTTCCTGTTCACAGATTGTTAACAGTTCACAGATTCCAGATTGTTGTTAGCTTCTAGTTCACAACCTCGGCATTGTTGGTAGCTTCCAGTTCACAACCTGGGGATCCTTGGTAGGTGTCAGGAAGGGACTGCTTGTAAACTACTTTTTTTATTTATTTGCAAATACTCTTTGTCAGAATACAGTTGTTGGTTGACATTATGTTATGTCTCACTAAATTCTATTACTTATTCAATACAGCTTTGGCTCTACAATTCACTGTATGAGTATTGATTCCTTGTGATATCAGACTGGCAATTAACACCAAGGGATGTTGTCCTCACCATCCAGCTAATGAACTTGTTCACTCACAGAATTTGTGAGTACCATACAGAGATCTATCCAGTGCAGCTGAGCAAAATGCTTCCACTATCAATACTTCTGTAGTTTTCACAGATACTGTATAATAATCCATATTATTATACAAATCACAAAATTTATCTTGTTCAAACTCAGCATATTTAGAAACCACAAAGATTAAGTGCATAAGCGTGTCCATGTAAAAGCTAATAATAGTGAGATGAATGTCACTGAAAGCAAATATTAGTACCGCATTAATAGAAATGCATATTTTTAAACAGTGTATAAAACAACTTGCTCAATTACAGTGAGAGGAAGAAAAGCTTTCCAGATACAGCAGCAGATAATTTATTTATAAATCTGGGGAGATTGCTGAACTGCAATTCAATCTAAAATATTTAACTTTTTTTACACCTATTATTCTTCAAAACAGTGTATTACATAGTCAATGAAAAGTCATTTAAAGTATAAGTGAATTAATTCCATTACCTCCTAAAGAATCTAATTAAGAACCTCATTCCTCAAACTCACCAATCCACAGAATTACATCCTAAAGGTCATATACCCCATGGGACCATAAATACAGATTGGGGTCAGTTGAAATGTTCTGTTCATTCATGTTGATTAGGTATAATGGTTTCATTTAAACACAAACCTAAATATCAATCTTCTCAAATCAGCAGCACAGACAGGGTAGTTTACCACACTGAATTTTATCTGATGAACTTTTGATTGGCATGGACCAGCAGTGCACATTCAAGGCATTATGAAATAAGAACCCAAATGAGCCTTGTAAAGAAGCTATGCACATTATTTAGTTGGAATAAACTATGAAAGATTTTACAGAGATGTCATGAGGTCCCCTCCAAATTATTCCACACATTAAAAAAAAATTATTTCAGTAATAGAGAATTATTTTCTTGCCCTTTTCAGTTGCAAAATGGCTGAACAGCACAAAGAAATTGCACTATTTCCTATCAGTAAAACAACATTTGACTTTTCCACGAGAATACATATTACCACCTAGATACTGAATTATTCCTATTGTAAAGTAAAATGCATGCTTTCTGGAAATTCTTAAAACTTGCAGGCATTCATTAACATAAATCATAACTTAATTTTGATGGGTTTTCCTGTGACAAGATATCCGTTCCATGGTACACCAGATTACACATCAGAATCAGAGCCACACTTTTTACTGGGATAGGTCTTAGAAAGTGAAAGTAGGTCTTAGAAGGTGAAGACCTTTTAACAACACCCACCACCCTGCTGGAAAGTGCTTACCAAAGAAGAGATATGAGTTTGTTTCCCTCCTATGCCTGAACTATAGCATTTTAGGGATTCTAGAAATGTTACTATCACCACCACCACCCCCAAAAAAAAACACAAACAACCAAAACATCCAAACCTAAAAACACAGAGCTTTGACAGGAAAAAATGAGGAGGGCTTGCTTTCTTTTTTTAAAAATCACTTTCATTCTACCACTTGTGGTTCAAACCCCTAGAAGCAAAGCTACACTTACCTATTCTGAAACCCCCAGCAGATGATGATCTGCCTTCACTCACTAAGAAAACATACTCAGCTTTTGATGAAGCTGTGACTTCCTCCTCTCACCCCTATTAATCATGCAGGAACAAGCAATCTAGAATCCAGCCTACTCATTTGGAGTAAAGCTCGTTTTCCTAGGAAACATGCTCCTGCCTCCAGTCACCCAGGAAAAAAAAAGCAGGCAGAGCAAGCCTGAGTCCTGCCTAAGGCTTGACACTTCTGCACAGCAACCTGATAACATTTCTGCCCTGCCACCAGATTGATTCATTGATTCAACTGGGAAGATAGACTTTTAAATTATACAAGCCCTAATCCCTATATGAATAATTTATGAAACCATTTCTTATGCTTTGTGTTTGCGTAGAGAAAGAAAAGAATAGTAATAAACAGTCCAACAACTCTACAGAATCCAGCAACAAATTTCTGATGGATCTTCTAGCATACAGCCTGCGCCAACTTTCAGGCATATAGATTTTAATATGATTCAGTAAGCAGAAAAGGAAAAGGAAATCTTCTATTTCCCCTCCCTCGCAAAAGATAAACTTTAGAAAAAAATCACATTCCTCTGAGGCACACTTGAAATGACAGATAATGAATCACCTATCTCCTACAGAAGAAGAAAACATCCAAAGTTAATTAAATGTACCAGTGTTTAGAACAATTGTAAAATGGAAAGCAGCAGCCAGAGGACAAAAGAAATTTACCTCACTTTTGAGATTGCATTGGCAGAGCTTGGAAATGATACATTAAAAATTAGTATGGCTTTGACAACATATACCCACTTAAAACATAAGAA